AAAAAATATCTACTGTTACTTCACAATGCAGCTCCTTGAAACACTCTCTTCCCTTTTGTGAATAAAAAGAATGTAACATTCAATTACTTTAAAAGAGAGAGAGAGGTCTGGGAGCCAAAGCTGGAATTGGGTAAGGATCAGAAGAAAGCACCTCTCCTGAGTCCAGAGGAAAATTTACAATCCTTTTATCTCTGAGAACCACCCAGCGCTCCTGGCTGTAGTTCCGATGTCACCAGACCCTATGATGAGGGTTCTGGGCCGCTAGCATCCTGTGTGGGAAATCCAATAGGAAACAACTGACCTCAGAGTTCTCGGCCTCCGAGGGCCTTCACATCCCCTTTGGTCTCCTTGGCAGTCAGGATATGGTTGTTGGTATCCTTAAGGACAATCCTGGACAAAGTATCCACTGCATCTGTGGTGAAAGCACCTGCGAGGCCTCGGGGGTCTCTGGGACTAGCATACAGACCCCCTCTTATCCTCCTGCTCTGCCCTGGCATCCCCTCCTGCTCTGTACACACAACCTCCTTTTAAGAGGCTGTCAGGGTCGCTCTTGGATCCCACTGCACGTTTCTACAGGTTTTCTAATGTCTAAGGCAGTTAAGAATCTGTTCTCTATAAATAACTTATTACAATCTTAATAAATTACATTTAAAATCTTCCTCAAACATTCTAAGAAGGTAGAAGATTTCTCTGCACTCCTGACCTGTACTGAAACAAGAAGAACATTAAGAAACAAATCTGCTTTTACAGTTCTTAGAGGCAGCTCCACTGAGGATTCCATCTTCAGGGCCAGTGTTGTGTTCCATGGAGTTGCTGCAATTCCAAGGCCAGATGAGCCATAGGGAAACCCACAGAGTTGAGGATCCATCAGGAAATTCTAGAAACAAGAGCATAACCTTTTCCATTGGTTATTAGTGTTCTAGAATATCAATCATTTCATTGTTTCATATACACAGGAATTTATCAGAGAATATAGATAAATGTTTATCAGCAGAAGTACTAATGTCTCTTTGAAGAAAATTTTAAAAGGCAAATTTTACAAGTTAAGTCTTAGAAATATTTTTTTTAAAGATCTATTTTATTCTTATTGGAAAGGCGGATATACAGAGAGGAGAGACAGAGAGGAAGATCCTCCGTCCGATGATTCACTCCCCAAGTGAGCGCAATGGCTGATGCTATGCCGATCTGAAGCCAGGAGCCTCTTCTAGCTCTGCCACGTGGGTGCAGGGTCCCAAAGCCTTGGGCCATCCTCGACTGCTTTCCCGGGCCACAGGCAGGGAGTTGGATGGGAAGCGGGGCTGCCGGGATTAGAACCGGCGCCCATATGGGATCCCGGGCATGCAAGGTGATGACCTTAACCACTGGGCCACCGCACCGGGCCCAAGTGTTAGAAATATTATAGATAAAGTGTATCTGGAGGGAATCCCCCCTTTTATTATTTATTATTTTTATAAATTGGCATTTTAAGGTGTAGTGTGTACATTCAACAAGTCTGAGCCACCAGGCTGCTTACTCTCAAAAAAATTATCAACAAAAAATATCAAATAACAGCTTCAGAAAGCATTACCCAAAAGTCCAATGTCTGCTGTGAATTTGGAAAATAGAGCATTGGTTAACAATTAAAACTAAATTGTATTAACAATTTTAAACAACTTTTACAAAAGACAAATGTTAAGATATACTTGTGCATGTGCGCACACACACACACACTTTTGAGGACTTAAAAATTACTGTTTTCAACCAAGCTTAGTCATAGTAGTAAGTCCTTACCTTGAATGTGCCAGGATCCGTATGGACGCCGGTTCTAATCCTGGCAGCTCCACTTCCCATCCAGCTCCCTGCTTGTAGCCTGGGAAAGCAGTCGAGGATAGCCCAATGCCTTGGGACCCTGCACCCACGTGGGAGACCTGGAAGAAGTTCCTGGCTCCTGGCTTTGGATCGGCATAGCATCGGCTGCTGCGCTCACTTGGGGAGTGAATCATCGGATGGAAAATCTTCCTCTCTGTCTCTCCTCCTCTCTGTATATCCGACTTTGTAATAAATAAATAAATCTTAAAAAAAAAAAGGCTAGTGAACACTGACAAATTATTTCTCCCACAAAACTATAACCACACATTCCCAGACAGTATAAATACATGGTTGAACTAACATTAATACACATCACCATTTTATCAATTACATAATAGAACAAATGATCAAGTATTTAAATATTAAGTTACACAGCTCAAAAGTCATATGAAATATTAGATGTTTGCTTAATCCATTAGCAGAAACCCACTTTTAAAAAAAAAGATTTATTTATTTTTATTGCAAAGACAGACATACAGAGAGGAGAGACAGAGAGGAAGATCCTCCCCCGCCCCCAATGTTTCACTCCCCAAGTGACTGCAATGGCCGGTGCTGTGCTGATCCAAAGCCAGGAGCCAAGAGCTCTCCCGGATTTCCTACTTGGTGCAAGGTCCCAAAGTTTCGGACCATCCTCAACTGCCTTCCCAGGCCACAAGCAGGAAGCTGGATGGGAAGCAGGGCCGCCGGGAGCAGAACCGGCGCCCATATGGGATCCCGGGCGTGCAAGGAGAGGACCTTAACCATTGCGCCATTGCGCCGGGCCCGATAAGCACATTTTAAATGCCAAACAGCAAGAATCTTTTGCTAGATGTCTAAACAGGTTGGTTATGATCCGAACATAGAACTTGCAATTCTGTAAAACTTGTGGCCTGCTGAACTGATTCCATTACCCTTAGGAAGCATCATTAAACTTATTCACCAAGCCAAAATGTTGGCTAATATGTATGTCAGATTAGATCCCATCTCAACTTTTACTTCCAAGGCTACAGCATTAGGCACCCCAGTTTTATTGAATGTAGCAGTTGTTCCTATGACCGTTGGAATCTTCGAAGCGCAGCCGCATCTTAGGAGGGTATTTTTCCAAATACAGAAGATGTTTGCTGTTAAAAGCTCCACACCGCTTTTGTCTTATGAACTGTACTGCATCTTCATACTTCATTCCACCTTCAATCAATGCTAACGCAACACGCACGGGGGCTCTTCCAAGGCTGCAACACAATCAACAGCAATACAACAAGGTTCTCCACGGAATTTAACTTTTACAAGACTTAACCAGTCATCAACAATCTGATTGGACAGTGGTGCAGTCATCAAAAGGCCAATCAAGGACATGGATGCCTTCTTTTTCCACAAGAGTTGTGTCATAAGTCGCTTCACGCACTCATACGATTGTGGTAACTCCATATTTCTTAAGTTCCTAAACAAAATTGTTTCATGTTGCATTGGTTAAATTATGTGCAATAAGAAATCTCATGTTCTTGTTTGTGAGTTCCACAGGAGCAGGGCAGCTGATTCAAACCGTGCTAATTTACTTAAAAAAAAAAAAAACCACTTACTAGGGTAATGAAACAACTTTTTAAAAACTGAATACAGAAATTACATAAAGAAACTGAAGACTACTTTACTGCCCTCCACTTGCAATTCTCAGTGCTTTGAGTATGAAGTTGGAAGTAGTGGGAAATGAACAACAAAAAGCAGCAGCAATTCTTAAACCCAGCAATGCTGAGGCAATAGAAAGGAAGTGCACTGAGGTTTACCCCACCCAGGTCAGAACTCTTCTAAAACGCTCTATGAATTTCAATTCAACCCTTCTGTGTCCAGGTTAACCACTTCTGTTGGGACAGGATGCCGCCGTGACAAATGTCGGGCTTGATGTGCCGAACTCTCCCACTTCCTTTCAAACGCCCGCCAGGCCAAGCCCGTCCTCACGTTACCATGGCGACCGTCCGACTCCGGCCGTTCTGCGCAGGCGCGCGGGGGCCCGCGCACTGTCTCCCCCAGGCGCGCCTGCGCGGAGCAGCCCCTTCCGAGCAGGGAGGCGGGGTCCTGGCGAGGGCTGCGACGGTACAGAGTTCCGCCCATCCCGGGGGAGCCGGCAGGGAGCCGGGCAGAGCGTGGTGGGGGCGCTGTCCTGCAGTCCGCTGTGCGCGCCGACGGGGCCGGACGACTGGACTTGAGCTTGAGCACCATCGCTGCTCTCAGGGAGACCAGCTGCGGACCACGTGGCGGCGCCGAGCGCGGAGCGGCGCATTCTGGGAGACTAGTCTGGTGATGGCCGAACGGCGTGCATGCTCATGCATGCGGGGCGGCCGCCGGGCGCCGAGGTGAGGCTGGGGGCATCTCCACTGGGAGGGCTCGGCCGGGGACACGGGTTCCGACCGCCCGGCGAGACGGGGAGCCAGCATTCGCCGCGGATGAGCTTTGCGCTGCTGCGCGCGGCCGCGTAGCCAAGGCGACAGGCCCCACGAGCCCCGCCCCCGTTGTCACGGCGCCACGGGGACCGGCCTCTCGCCTCGGCTTTTGGGAAATGTATTTCCTGACCCTCCGTAGGGCCTTGCTAGCCTGAAGGTGACCACAACCTTTTCTCAGGATTTCAAGTTTGCTTGGAAGAGGACTTGTGACTCACGATTCAAGGTAGCCTTTGAGATTGCTGTCACCTGTGCGTATGGGGGCGGTGAGTGTGACGCCACCCTCTTAATCAGTAGGTTGCTTCACTAAACCCCAGCTGCCAGCAAGGAGGGAAGCCCCGTTTGCAGGTGGGCAAATGGGATCGCAGAGTCACGACCTGAAAATGTTCGGAATCAGAACCTCAGACCTTTACTGTCCTGGTCCAGTGGCCTTGGGCTGGAAACTTCATCACCTCCTGGCACTACCTAATTCGAAGTTTTACAAACAAGAGCACTGTGTGGTATTACAAGTTCAGCTCAGCAAAAGGACCAGGTAGGAGAGGCTGGGCCGCTTAAGTTTTAAATTGAGGGAGGAAGCAGGCAGCAGTGGTGCTAACACTGCTGTTACAGGTGGCATCCACACCATAGAGGGAGAGCCAAGGAGAGGAGATGAGATGGTTCATATAGATGGAAAGATAGATGGTACCTTTGAGGGCTAAGAAGCAGCCTGTGCGTGCAGACAAGGAGTTACCAGACTCCACACACTCCCACTTAAAAAGAAGCCAACACTTGTGGGTCAGTGAGCTCCAAAACCACAGACGTTGGCTCCCTCCACTGCCTTCCAAGTGGGACAGGTTGGAGGATGGGACAACATGGCATACAGGAGGCATTCTGTGTGCATTGTGGCCAATGTTCCTTCCCCAGGGGCAGACCATACCCTAAGACCTGCCCTGTCACACTCAGTGAGAACTACTGAGCTGGACTCCCAGGGTGGCACACACCCGGAAGACAAGGGATTTTTCGCCATGGAGCTGGAGGACTCTGAGAAGGAAGGAGAAGCAGGCTTGTGGGGCCCAGGGCCTGAGCCTGCAAGCGTGCGCGCCTACGCTTCCGGAGCTTTCACTAAAAGGCACTGATGGGTCCGCTGCAGGCCCTGGCCTGGCTCTGCCAGCTGTGCCGCCAGTGGCTGCAGCCCGAGCTGTAATCCAAGGACCAGATGCTGAAGCTGCTGCTGCTGGAGCAACTCCTGGGTACACTGGCCCCCCAGATCCAGGCCCACTTGCAGGGGCAGCAGCCAGGCAGTCCCGAGGAAGCTGCTACCTTGGTCGACAGGCTTCACTGGGAGCCAGGCTTGCCTCAGGGTGAGTCCACAGCCCTGAGCACAGTCCAGCTCTGCCTTCCTCTGTGGGTGCCATGATCAGTGAGATAGGCATACCCCTGAGGTACAAAAGGGACCATGCTGCAACAGACTGCGAGGCTGCCCAAAGCAGGGAGAGTTCCTAGGCCAGCTTCACCAGCCCAAGGATAGGAGAGAGGAGGGTCCTGGGTGGCCCTATGTGTCAGCAGCAGGAAAGCTTGGAACTTCCTGCTTGGAACCCAGAGGAGGTAGGTCCTTGAAGGACTTAGTGTTTACCAGGCAGATCTGTAGGGTCCTGGAATGGAAAGGGTGTCCCTAAACTTAGAGTCGCACCCAACCTTACCACCTGCTTGGGCCTCTGATGGTGAGGACATCTCCATAGGTCACAGTCCAGGTGCAGGGCCAGAAGGTCCTATCAGAGAAGATAGAACCATTCAGCTTCTAGCCCCTACCTTAAACTCCAGAGCCTGGGCCCAGGACACTGCCTGAGGTCATGCTGGCATCACCACTTGGTCTTCAGGTGAAAGAAGAGTCAAAAGTTACGGAGGACCCAAGTGATGTGGGCAGGGATGAAGGCCTGGTTGGGTAGACCAGAGTAGCCTGGACTGAGCAGTCAGAGTCCACCAGACTATGCCCCTTTTGATGGAATGTTCCCATGTACCAGTTGCTCCCATTGCCCACCCAATTGGGTCTCCCCCCGATTCAGTCACAGCTCAATTTCCACAGCTGTCCTAACATGGCACATGAGCATGGAGTCCACCTCATACCACTGCAACTCAACCCCTAGTCCTCCAGTGTGTTCCGCTTTGCCCCACTCCCAGCCTCAGGCTCGCACCCAGGATTCCTGCCTAATTCCTGACACATGGCACATGAGGGAGAAGGGCTCCAGGAAAGGCACTCCCTCCAATTATCTAACCCACTTTTTCTCTCCAGAGCTCCTGCAGTCCGAGCCCCTAGCTGTCACCCAGGAGGCTGCACCCACCCTCCCATCTGAGGCGGCCTAGGTGAGCCCTTCAACAGCCCATGTCCCCTCCCTGCTCCAGATACATCACTGGGTAAGGGTGTCAGGGAAGTCTCTCCCTGGTGCTAACTGGGCACAAATGAGCAGTGCCACTGTGGTTTCAGGGCTGTGGGACAGCACTGGACCAGGTCTTGTCACCCAGCAGGACTGTGGAAAGACCATGCAGGGCCCTTTGGCCTGAGGAAGCTAGAGATGTCTTCTCCCCAGGCGAGTGGAACGGAACATGATGGGCTAGCTTCTCCTGGCAGGACAGCACCATGTCCACTGACCCTGTTGCTAGCCCCAAACTCTCACTGCCTAAGCCATCCCCTGCAAAGTTCAACTTGCTCTAGTGTCATGTGCCCTCAGGAGCCAGCCACTGACCCATGACTCTCCTAGCTGCTGTTCCCCAGCTCAGTAAAGACTGGGAATAGGGTCTGTTTCCTACACCCACAGCTTCTCCAGGCTGACATACTGGATGGCAAGATTAGCACAGGGAGGTGCAGGACCTAGTTAAGACAGCCCAGGAGGACCCTGGTACAGAATGAGAAAGACCAAGATCTTGCCCAAGCACCTAGGCATCACAGGCCAAAGGCACCGTGCTATCTGCCTCAGCCACAACCTTCACCTAATATCCATGCTCCTCCTATACCCCATTTTCTGTTCTCTAGATACAAGGTCTTCTCATTCTTGATTTACTACCATTTGGCAGGGGTGGAAGTGTGGGGTGTGAGGTGTGAAGTTTCTATTTATTAGAGACAGGGTCCCCTTCTGCTGATTGACTGCTCAGGTGCCTGGCACTGCTAGTGCTGGGCCTGGCCCATATTGGAGACCTGAATTGGGTGGCAGGGAAATCTGGCCATCGTATAACACTTCCCATAGTTGGCACCGACAGGAAGCTGGAATCAGAGCTGCAGTTAGGGAAGTGAACCCAGACACTTGTACTGGGTAGGGTTAGGGGGCTCTCACTAACTCAATGTCAGATTGTTCTTTAATCCCTGATGTGAGCCCCTTTCACATCTCAGTTGTGGAGAACTACCTGGAAACATTTCTTTGATTTCCTTCCGCTCCACTGTTCTGTTATCAGGATATCTATTATTCAGCTATTGGCCTCTGAGACAAGTCTTCTAATATCATATTTTTATTCTCATTTCCCATCTCTTTGCCTTTCTGCTCTACTTTCCACAGAATTTTCTGACCTGGATCTCCCAGACCTTCACTTGAAATTTTCATTTGTGTTAGCATATTTCTAATTTCCAAGTATGTTTGCATTCTCGGAATATTCATTCTTTAGCCTCTTCCTGTTCTTGTAGTTACAGCAAATTTTCTTATTTCTGAGGACAACAATACATTTTTTAAAAACGTTTTGTTCTCCCAGTTATTTGCTTATACGTAAGACAAGGAGACCACAAATGTGGCTGGCAGTAGCCGCTAAGGCCCTTTCTGATGCAGCAGCCTTCAGGTGGATTCTCAGAATCCACAGCTACCCCAACACTACTGCCTCAAGCACCTCTGCTGCCTTCTCAGTAACCTGTTCTCAGGTTGCACTTTCCATATAAATGACCACACCTCCTCCCGCCACAGTTCCACTGGCTATTCCTGTGTCTGCCCCCCTCTACCCCACCCCACCCCACAATATGCCTCTGCATCCTGAAAGCTCAATGTTTTCTTATCAAATTCCAACACACTATACAGTGGAATACCCCCTCCTTGTTTGTGCCACATGGTCCAGCTTCTCAAGGCGCAACACTACCAGTTTGTTTCCTTCCAGAAACATTCTGTATGCAGAGGAGCAAACACATATATAGGAATGTGCCACATAACATTTTGGTCAACAATAGACTGCACAGATACACAGCAATGGTCTTTTAGGAATTCCATGAATTTATCTGGTCTTACCAATTTATTGTAGCCCTTAGGAGGTTATTTAGCCCTTTCCCTCTGGAGAGTTTTTCAGATTGTTACATATCTTGACTCTGGGATAGTTTTTGCTGATTTTGTCTGACTCACTCTATCGTAAGTCAACTTTGTCTTGTTAGCTTACAGATTTTCTGTTGCCCACTGAGGCCCTCGCTACTGTCTCAGTATTCTTAATTTAAGCTCCTTCAAGCTTCCCAACTGTCCCAGCCCCTGCTTCTCAGCTGCCCCTGCTGATGCCTGCTCCCTCACATACCCAGCGCCTAAAACCACAGTGTCCACATGTGGCTAGGATCTGCTTCTTTTCATACCTACTTCCCCCCAATGTTAAGGCCAGACAGGTACAGGACTGTGCCACACATGTGCCTCACTTTGCCCAACACCCTACATGAAGTATGTAGGCACAGCTACACCCTAGACCAAAGCCCAGGAGCCCACATTCCCTGCTGCTCCCCACCCCATCCCTTCCTGTGGCCTCCAGCTCCATCATACCCACCACTCTCCTGCCTGTGCAGACAGCATCACTGCCCAGGTCAGGTGTTGCTGCCCCCTTCCCACCCCTCACCCCCCAGTTGCTTACAGCTTATTTGGGTCATAATAGAAAGCTTTTTCACCCAACACGTGATTTAACACTCTGTACCACTGCCACCTCTTCCAAGTAGTCCACACCAATGGAAGGCCTACCCTGCCCTTGTCGCCATTGTCTGCCTCACTAATTAGCTTCAGGTCTCTCTGGTTCACAGTGTGTCCCCAAGGCTTAAGTGGATCTAGGCACAGTGGGTATTCCATCACAGATGAATGGGTCCCCTTAGTATGCAGGGTTTGTGCTCCAGATGGACAGGGACCCTGCAGACCCAGGTGCTGTGAGCGCTCATCTCCACATCCCTTGGGACCTCAGCCTGGCCAGCCTCTTGGGCCAAATCCAGTCACCTTCAACCTCCATGCATGCACTTGTGCTTCAACATCCTGGGAGGTGAGCAAGACCCTGCAGGTGAGGAACCCAGCCAGCCCACTCTGGTTGCCACCATATGGCACGCCCCCAAAGGTCAGGGACGAGGCTGCCCTAGCACTAGATCTGGGGAAGTTCCAGGCAACTGTTGTGACATGTGTGGCAAAGTGCTCAGCCAACGCAGCAACCTGCTGAGGCATCAGAAGATCCACACAGGTGAGCGACCATTCATGTGCAGCGAGTGTGGCCACAGCTTCAGTCACAGCTCGCACTTGCTGCGCCACCAGCTCACACACACTGAGCAGTGGCCGTTTGTATGCTTTGACTGTGGCCAAGGCTTTGTACACAGCAGCTGCCTGGAGGAGCACCGCAGGATGCACACAGGGGAACAGCCCTTTGCAGAGTGTGGCCAGAGCTTCTGGCAGTGCTCCAACCTGCTGCAGCATCAGCATATCCCGGCCCTGGTACCACACCTCCTGCCCTTCCGAGTGTGCCCGAGCCCCCAGGTCCCTTCCCATGCAGTGAATGCTGCCAGAGCTTCACACGATGTACAGTGCTGCTCAAGTATCAGGCAGTGCACCCTGGCAACAAGTCCTTCAGCTACATGGAATGCAGCGAGCACTTCAGGCGCTGATTGGTGCTGCAGCTCTGGCAAGTCCACAGAGGCGAACGACCCTTTACCTGCCCCAAGTGCAGCCAGAGCTTCCGCCAGCACTCCAATCTCACCCAGCACAGGCGCATCCACACTGGTGAATGGCCCTTTGCCTACTCTGAGTGCGGCAAGACCTTTTGCCAGCAGTCCATGCTCAAGCAGCACCTGCTTGTGCACATGGTTGAGAAGCCCTTTGCCTGCCCCAAGTGTGACCGGCACTTTAGCCAGTGCCTCAAGTTCACACACCACCAGAGGACACACACGGGGAGAAGCCTTACCACTGCAGTGAGTGCAGCCTGGGCTTCACGTAGGTGTCATGGCTTATCGAGTACCAATGGATCCACACAGGCGAATGGCCCTTTGCCTGCCCCAAGTGTGGCCCGAGCTTCCAGCAGCATGTCAACCTTACCCAGCACTGGCACGTCCATACTGGGGAATGGCCCTTCGCCTGCACCAAGTGCAGCAAGACCTACCACCAGTGGTCCACGCTCACACAGCACCTGCACACCCACTGGCAGGAAAAGCCCTTTGCCTGCCAGCACTGTAGTCGCTATTTCGACCAGAGCACCAAACTCATCCAGCACCAGCATGTGCACATCTCCAAATAGCTCTAGTCCACACATACTGCATCCCTCCAGGGCACAGCACGTGGTCACCAGTGGGTGCTCCCATGCTGGTAAGTTCCCTCAGTGCTCATGTGGTTCCTGTGTGGGTGGTACAGCACCTGTGAGAGGCTCCTGGATCATATCTCTGGCTTGCCCTAAGCAGCCCAGCCTCGGCCCTTCGGGAACAGTAGTCCTTAGTACCCCAGACCCAATGCTGACACTAGTATGGTGTTTCACCTGAGCATCAGTTAGAGTCTATGCAGATGGGGATGGGTGTTTGTCCCAATCAGGACCCCTGCATTCAGGATGACCTCAGTTTGATTCCCCAGCTTGGCTTCTGACTCCAGAGGAAGATATGGCTCAAGGAACTGCGTTCTGCCACTCATCTGGGAGACCCAGACTGAGCTCCCTGGCTCCTGACTCCAGAGCCCTGACCTTTGCAGGCATTTGAGAAATGAACGAGCAGATGTCTCTCTCCCAAAGAGACAGTCGTAGCACATGCTTAACTGATGTGCCAGTCAGGTGTCAGATGACTGATGAGTGACTAACAATAGTAAGTCAACCTGTAGAGTAGATGGGACCCTGGAAGCCCCACAGAGTTTCCCATGGAGATAAGACACGAGGACTCTGTCAGCCATCAAGGAGATGCCATGCATCTGTGACCTACAGCCTGCATGAGGGACAGTATTCACTTGGTCGTGGGCTCTTTGGGCACAAACTTCTGAGGAGGGAGCTCTGAGAGGCCAATGAAACAGTTTCTGAGAAGAATCTGATGCAGCCAGAGTAAACACTGCTGCTCTACTGCAGGACCCAGTCCTTTCTCTCACCAGCACTGAGGCAGTCCCTCCCCGCCCGCTGCAGGGAAAGAGGATCTGGCCTGCACAGCCATGCCCAGCTGGACAGTTTTAGAACCAACAAAGGAGCTGAATGAGTAGCCCAACCCCTTGTGTGGTGAGACTCAATCTGGTTGCCATACACTGTCTCTCCACTCACAACTACATTCCCAGTTGACTGTCCCATCATCCTCACCCTAACAGCATCCCACCAGTTTTTTTCATGGTCATAATCATCCAAGCTTTCCTCATCAGGGTCTCTCAACCTCCCCTAGTGGGACACTTGTGGCAGCAACAAGCCTGGCATCCCATGTGGACCCACCAGGACTGCACCTAGCTCCCCAGTGTGTTGGGTAGCACTGTGGCTGGTCTGTGGTGCCTGCAGCCTGCGCACCTGCTCCCCTTCTGGCTGTCACCAGGGCTAAGGCCCAGAGGAGAGCTCAGGCACAGGGTCATCAGATGCAAGAGAAATAAATGGCACAGGGCAAGCCACATCACACCTGAGAATATGTTTATAAAACTGCTTCATACTGGGCCCGGCATGATAGCGTAGTGGTTAAAGTCCTTGCCTTGCACGTGCCGGGATCTCATATGGTCACCAGTTCTAATCCCGGTGACCCTGCTTCCCATCCAGCTCCTGCTTGTGGCCTGGGACAGCAGTCAAGAGTGGCCCAAAGCCTTGGGACCCTGCACCTGCGTGGGATACCCGGGAAAAGTTCCTGGATCCTGGCTTAGGATCAGCATAGCTACAGCCGTTGCGCTCACTTGGGGAGTGAATCATCGGATGGAAGATCTTCCTCTCTGTCTCTCCTCCTCTCTGTATAGCTGACTTTCCAATAAATAAATAAATCTTTTTTTAAAAAAAAAACTGTTTCATACCTAGCAACCTTAGGTTTAAACGCTAAAATGTTCTACCTGGAGACTCAGCTGTCCCAGGACTTCCTGTTCCCACATGTTTACAACCAGCAGGCGTCAAGGCAGAGGACCCTCACTAGTCTGGAAAGCAGTGGCCCTGCAGCCAGTTACCCCTCCTGAGAGGTACACCAGATTCAAGTAGTATAGGGTAAAAGGGTCCTTATGTAGTGAGGTCCAACTTGAGTCTAAACCCTAGTCAAGCTCACTGTGGGCAGGTGTCAACCTGGTCTTGGCCTGGGTGTTGCCAGGAACACTGACTTGAAGGCTGTGTCCAAGCTTTTCTTGGCGTGTAGTTGGACTTGCCCAGCTCCTCTGAGTCAGCCTGACCACCAAGACCGGGGTCCTGTCCTCAGGCAAAGAGAAGCCAACTTTTGCCAGAGGTCACTATTGTGTGACACAGGGCATGGCTTCTGGGCATGTAGCAACACCATCCCCCTCACCAGCAGCAAGTGAATCCTCAGCAGGCAAATAACCACTTAGCCATAAAAGGAATATTTGGAAAGAACATTCAAGGTCCTTGTGAGTTGTGTAGCTGCAACTCGTGCTTGGCCAGCCTGGCACTGAGGCCACACTGTTCAAACCAACCCCAGCCTCTCTCATTCTGTTTTCCCTGCTGAGCTCTGCTTCAGTCCTGCTTCCTATCTAGGTTGATGAACTCCAGCACCTCTCCTAGGCAGCCCCTCCCTCCCTGCTTTGGCCCCGTCCTGTCCAAAACCAGCCGTATGTTCTCAGCATCTGCTCCCAGAAGGTACAGTGATGCCCACGGGTGTAGCATCAGCCTCACCCCTGCTTCCGCTCAGCCACCCTCTTCACTGGTCTAGAAGCCAAAACCCCCTTCTTCCCAGCAGACTGTACAGTTGTCAGTCCTCTCCACTTCCTGGTAAGCCATGGATGGACCAACTTTGAGGAGTCCAGCACACTGCCCTGGGGGAACATGCTTAGGATGCACTTTTGGACCAGTAGGTGCCCAGTAGCAACCACCCCTGAATCTAGAATAAAGCAGCAGGCGGTCCTCAATTACATTTGGAAGATAGCTCTAAGAAACTGGTAAAGAGAAACAGTTCTAACACTGGGATGCCTGCATAAAAATCAACAAAAATACCAAATAAAAGTAAAATGTAAAATAATAACCACAGCATAGAGGGGCTGAGAAGGAGCCAGAAAGGCCCTTTGAGTCCCAGAACCAACAAGGTGTGAAGCGCAACAGCTGGGATGGTTGGTTGTACTGGCATCCAAGTCAAGCCACTTCCTGCTTCAGAGCAGAGACGTCGCTGCTACAGCTCACAGACCTCACCAGCACTGCACAGGGGTGCCGGGATTGACGGTCGGGACAGCCAGAAGCCTGACGGGATCGCTGGGGGTTGGTCTGAGCTCACCCATAGCTCTTGGGTCAGGGAGGAGCAGCAGCAGCGACAGGCCAGTAGTTATCAGTTCCTGGGGTCCAAGGCTCCAAGGGTGCAGGACAGGCACAGGGCAGGGCGTCTGACCGCCAGACTGGCTGAGGTCAGCATGGGGCTCTATGCAGGTCCAAGAAGGCGTGAAGGAATGGGGCAGAGGACTGGTGGGAGACAGGCGACAGCTGCTGAGAGGGCGTCAGTGAGGCTGCGGGGGGCCAAACAGCAAACCCCACCGGGCTGGTCTCCACTAGACCGCCGGCAGTACCAAGCACGCTTACCCCAAAGCAGTGCCCAGGGAAGCCACTCAAGGGACGACCGTTTCCGTGGTGATGAGCGGACGCCACCGTTGGGACCACACCAGCGACCCAGCATTGGAGACCGGCTGAGGCTGCTGTGCCGTGTCCCTCACTGGGGAATGTTCGACCCAGACTGGAAAACCTCCACCACGTTTACCACTGCGGGACAAAACGTTTTATTGTTAGTTTCCTTCAGTCTCCACCAGATTTCTAGGTTTGCAACTGCTAACTCCAAGGCTTGGCCCGCTGTATACGCCGGATGTTTCCCTGTGACCTCTGGAAAATGAGTTTGTCTGACTCACCCCCGCCGCGCTCAGCACGAAAAAAACCTCGGATGGACAGACCGTGGGGCAGGTGGTCCACATCTGCCCCACTCAAACATGGCGGCCAACACCTCTTCCTCCCCAGCTCACCTAGCGTCCCCGGAAGTGAGCGCAGCACCGCCGAAACGTCGTCCCCAAACGGAAATACCCGACAGGCGACGAAGGAGCACGAACCCCAAATCCCATCGCCGAGCAACGCAAGGCTGCAGCGGCTGCGCAGGCGCACAGTGCAAGCAAGGCAGAAAAACCGAAGCCGGCGGGCGACGGAAAGAGCCGAAGCGGCGGGGCGCCCGAGGCCGTTGCGGACCTCCGCGTCCGAGTCGCTGCTGCCGCGGAGGCCGATGCTCCAGGACCCAACCGCCGCCTCCGTGGCTGCCGCCGCTGCCTTCCACCCCGAACCCCGGCACCTCGTGAAGTGAACGCCTCGTGAAGTGAAGCAAACGCGGCCGGGACTCGGGTGTCCGGAGCCGGCGAGAGGGAGGAGGGAGCAGCCGGCCTGGTGGGGGCGGGGCCGAGGCCAGCCGAGTCGGCCCGAGCGTTGCCGAGCAAGACCGAAGAGCGGGGCCGGGTCGGAGCCGGACTACGGGAGCCGACGCGGGCCGCGCGGTGGGCGCGGAGCGGCGCGGCAGGCCGGGCGGGCGGCGGCAGCTGCAGAGGAGGCCGCGGCCGCGGGTCCAGGAGCGGAAGCGGCGAGGGAGGCGGCGGGGGCCGGGTGGCCGGGGTCCCGGGCCCCGCGGCGGCGGCAGCGGCGGCGGCGGCGGCAGGATGATCAAGCTGTTCTCGCTGAAGCAGCAGAAGAAGGAGGAGGAGTCGGCGGGCGGCACCAAGGGCAGCAGCAAGAAGGCGTCGGCGGCGCAGCTGCGGATTCAGAAGGGTAGGGAGTCTGAAATAGGGTTGGACTCGGGGTCGGCAGTCCCAGCACAGGGTGGGGTAGTGAGGTCGCCGAGGATCAGGAATGGGGACCGCGGTTGCGGGGATGGTCAGAGGTCAGGGCTTGAGGCTTGGGTACGAGCCGGAGGTTAAAAGCCCGGGAAAGGGGGATCCTGATGTTTAGGGACCCAGAATCTAAAGATTCAGGTGGGAACGTGGGTTCGGAATGACAGAGAGGAGGGACTGGGAGACCTAGGGTCAGTGTAAGGAAGGACATATAACCTATCGATGTCAGGTTCCTGAGTTTGGCAGACAAGCGGGCAGTGGCGGTCACAGGGGGAGGCAGGGTCGGGGCACTGTCTCAAATGGTTCTTGGGGCTAGAGCATGGCTGAAGGTGTGCGTGGAGGTATACTGTTAGCGGAAGGAGCCCCCCCAAGACTGGGAAATAGGAAAGCAGGAAGAAGGTTGCACCCTACGCGGCACTCGGTCCAGGAGGAGCCTTGGAGGCCAACAGGAGGCTGACCCCTGCTCAGAGGGCCATCTCTCTCCACTCCCTCTCCTCCATGCCCTTTCTCTGCTGTTAAAATCCAGACATAAACGAGCTGAACCTGCCCAAGACGTGTGACATCAGTTTCTCAGACCCGGACGACCTCCTAAATTTCAAGCTGGTCATCTGTCCTGATGAGGTGAGCACCTGTGGCCACACCTGAGGGACAGGGAGGCGGCAGCCCCGCAGCAGAGGTCTGGTCTGCCGTGGTCCTGCGGGGCCAGGACCTAACGCCTTCCTTGCTTCTCTCCCCTCCCAGGGTTTCTACAAGAGTGGGAAGTTTGTGTTCAGTTTTAAGGTGAGTCCCAAGTGGGCAGAGGTGGCTCCAGGGACTGAAGTGACAGAGCTGAGGCCCTGCCAGGCACCTACCCACCTCCCCTCTCTTTTCTTGGAGCCAGGTGGGCCAGGGTTACCCACATGACCCCCCCAAGGTGAAGTGTGAAACGATGGTCTATCACCCCAACATTGACCTCGAGGGCAACGTCTGCCTCAACATCCTCAGGTGAGGGCCAGGCCCCCCTCTTCCAAGCCACCCCTGCCTGCCGGGCCCTCCTCCCACCACCCCTGCCTGCTGGGCTCTCCTCCCAGCCACCCCTGCCTGCTGGGCCCTCCTCCCAGCCACCCCTGCCTGCCAGCCCCCACAGTTTGTGGTCACTCGTTTGTCCCATCCCTTGCCCTATGGTCTGTCTTTGTCTCTTCATTTCCAAGTCGTACACCAGCAGGCTGACCTTGGCCTTCTCACTGTTTCACTCCTCACTTGTCCTGCTCCGTGCCCTCTCCCTGCTCACCCCTAACTCTGATTCCCTGTTCCTGGCTTGTGTGTTGACTGTGGGGCCTGTGAGCCCCAGTCACCTACCAGCTGGTGACCCAGGTGCTTTCTGCCCACAGAGAGGACTGGAAGCCAGTCCTTACGATAAACTCCATAATTTATGGCCTGCAGTATCTCTTCTTGGTGAGTAGGGTGGCCACGTGGGGCAGGTGAGCACCTTGGCCCTGTGCCCAGCTAGCCTGATGACCCCCACCTGTACTGGCTACAGGAGCCCAACCCTGAGGACCCACTGAACAAGGAGGCCGCCGAGGTCCTGCAGAACAACCGGCGGCTGTTTGAGCAGAATGTGCAGCGCTCCATGCGAGGTGGCTACATCGGCTCCACCTACTTCGAGCGCTGCCTCAAGTAGATTTGCTATATACCTGCCCTGGCCAGGACCATCCGGTCCTGGCATCCCCTGCAAATATTTATTGGGGGCCACAGATGGAGGGGTGGGGGGCAGCCAGTGGGGAAATCCCTCCCTTGGCCACCTGTCTGCTCCCTGCCACCTGCCCTTAGTTATTTTTTTTTAACCACCACATGATTATAGTTGGCATTGTCCACTCAGCAATGGGAAATGAATTGGCTTGTCTAGCCCCCCTCCTCCATGCTGGGTGCTGTTCAGCCCCCCCACTCTGGGTTGTGAGGTGGGTGGGCAAGGGGCCCCTGTAGCTGGGTCCAGGCACCCCACCCCACGCCCCCAGAGGTCCCACCAGGCTATTAAAGGGGAATGTTACTGCATGGCCTCTGCCTCTTCCTTCTATGGGACGCTGGTGAGGGGTGGAGGCGGGGCAGCAGGACAGCCCTGGGGGGAGGCGGCTGGGCACAGAGGTTCAGGTCTGGGAAGGGGCCACGATGAAACCCAGTCGTGGTGGGGTCCTGCCGCCACTCGACCAGCGAGATTACTGCCTCGGGTCTCAGAAATCGGGGTCCTGCAGAAGGGCTGAGCCCTCCAAGGGCCGGGAGGCGTCCACAGGTGCTCGGCTCGTTCGGGCGGGACTTGAACCGGCAGCACCTTACCAGACTGAAGAGATCCGGGAGCTGGCGCGCATGCGTCCCTGCGCCGGCCCGGCTTGTGGCGAGTGCGCACGCGCGCTCCGGTCACCTCCCAGCATTCCTGGGAAGGGTGTGACGTCAGGTAGTTTGATCCGGAAGCCGCGGCGACGGCAGAAGCGACCACCGGGGGCCTTAGTGGGTGGGCGCGTCGGGCCATCAAGCGAAGGAGCGCGACCCGGAAGCGGAAGCGGGGCCCCTCGTCAGCTGTGGTGAGTGGCCTTGTGTGGGCCGTAGGTCCGGGGCAGCGGGCTCGCGGGCGGCGGCTTCTAAAGTCCCTGCTTGGGATCCTTTCCTCACCAGCGAGGCTCCCCCGGCGCCCCCAGGTCCGGTGCCGTGTTCCCCGAACACTGGAGGCTCCCGACAACCACCCCGGCGGCTCCTGACGCCTGTGACAGGGTTCAGGGCCTCCATTCCTGCCGCCGTCCCCACCACACTGTGTCCACCCGTTCCCTGCCGGTTCCTCTCCGGGTAACCACTGCAGGACCAAATCCCTGGGTATGCAGAGCATCTGGGGGCCAACTTCCATCCCTTATCGCCTGCAGAGCCTGATGACAGGACTTGGGCTGCATAGGATGGTTGTTCATTAATCTGAAAGGCAGAAGCAACTTTCCCGTCTGCCAGTTTCCATCTCCCACATGCCCCCAGCAGCCGCGACTGAGCCAGGCCAAAGCCAGGAGCCTGGAGCTCAGTCCCAGCCTCCCACATGGGTAGAAGTCACTCCTGAGATGCATGGTAGAAAAACCTGGAAACCGGTGCCAAGGCGGCACTCAAACCCCAGCATTGATGCAGAACACTATCCCCAAGATGGGTGATGTTCAGTGTCTCTAGGGTTAGCTTTCTGGCTTTCATCCCTGCCCTCAAAGGCCCCTTCCCACTTTGTAGGCTCTCCCCTCCTTCCCTGTAACCCAGTTCTGTTTCCTGTCCACACACCCTACAGCACACCCACACACCTGCCTCAGGCTTGCCGGGAGGCACCCACCACAATGGATCTGTTGTTTGGGCGCCGGAAAACGCCAGAAGAGTTGCTTCGGCAGAACCAGAGGGCCCTGAACCGTGCTATGCGGGAGCTGGACCGTGAGCGGCAGAAGCTCGAGACCCAGGAAAAGAAGATCATTGCAGACATCAAGAAGATGGCCAAGCAGGGCCAGATGGTGAGTGTGCTGCATCAGGGGCTGAGGGGATGGCAGACTGCTGTTCACTGCTGCAATGGTGATAAAACAGGAAAGACACCAGGTAACAGGATGGCAACACTTACTTAGTTTGGGAGCTTGGAAAGGACACCTGTCTGGTCAAGGATTGAGAATGAGCCTGTGGAAATCTGGGCAGGGGAGGGTTAAGGAATGTTGCTACACAAGAGGTGATCATGGGCCGAACTCCCGAGAACTGTGGCCATGCTAGATTGATGCCAGGTTCAAGAATCAGCAGCCAGAACCAGGAGAGCAGAGCCTGTGGTGGGCAATGGGCATCATTGGCAGGAGAGGCATCTTCTGAACCCTTAGCTCAGACCAGGTGAAGGAAAGAAATGTAAATTGTCTTGGTTCAGGCTAGAAACCCAATGACTACATAGGGTCAAGCCCATCCTTGGTGTTCACCCTGCAGGATGCCGTGCGCATCATGGCCAAAGACCTCGTGCGCACCCGGCGTTATGTGCGCAAGTTTGTGCTGATGCGAGCCAACATCCAAGCCGTGTCCCTCAAGATCCAGACACTCAAATCCAACAATTCCATGGCACAGGCCATGAAGGGTGTGACCAAGGCCATGGGCACCATGAACAGACAGGTATGTCTATCCACTTCTTATTCTCTTCTGCCAACCCTAACTCCCACAAGGACCAAGGTCATCTCCTCTCCGTTTCTAGCTGAAATTGCCCCAGATCCAGAAGATCATGATGGAGTTTGAACGACAGGCAGAGATCATGGACATGAAGGAGGAAATGATGAATGATGCTATTGATGATGCCATGGGTGACGAGGAAGATGAGGAAGAAAGGTACTGGAGAACTGGGCAGCAGCAGAAAGATGCTTGCCTGTCCCTCTCCCATGTGTGACCCAGAGTTCTTCCCTTTCCTAGTGATGCCGTTGTATCTCAAGTCCTGGATGAGCTGGGACTGAGCCTGACCGATGAGCTGTCAAGTGAGTGCCCCAAACCATCCTTCGCATTTTCTGCCCAAAACCCAGCCACAGCTACCCCACCCCACCCCACCGTGTTCCTTCTCTGTCCTTGCAGACCTCCCCTCCACTGGAGGTTCGCTCAGTGTGGCTGCTGGTGGAAAGAAAGCAGAGGCCACAGCCTCTGCCCTGGCTGATGCAGATGCAGATCTGGAAGAGAGGCTCAAGAACCTGCGGAGGGACTGATCTGCCAACCACTGATGCCATGGGACCGGGAAAAATGGATGCCCAGGGCCTTGGCCATGGTCTGTTTAATAAAGATTGGACACTAGGTTTGTGGAACTGTGTGACTGCTAACCTCATACAGGGCCAGGCTTGTAACTTTAGGGGACAAGTACCAGATCTGGCTCAAGTATGGGCAAGCCAATCCTACTTTATTTACTTTGATGCCATTTAGGGTACCAAGATACCAGCCTCTGCACCAAGTACCTTGGTTGATCCTCAAAGAGATTCAGTGTCTAACCTTTAAATACCCATTGTTCATAAATTCCCAATTCACTGTTCTAGCCCTAATGGTACATGATTTTAAGCCTAAATCAGACTCCTCCCTGCCCCCCCCCTTCCAATGAAGTGTGCAATATAACTAGGGCCACAGCAAGTAGCTAAACCCACCCATAGGCTGCATAAGGCTTGTTTGGTTTATGGCAAGCCAATTTCTGAAAATCTTGTGTGGCTTGTGACTGCTATTAATATCCCAATGGCCACTGGCAGCAACAGCTGCAACCCCTGCTCTGGTGGATCTGCCCAACACCAGCCCCAAGGACAACACTCTCCTTAACTCCATGAGCACTCCTATGTAACAAGTGTTAGTTACAACAAAAACCAGTACCGTATTCCCTCCCACCAGTAAGGGCCTGAGGAACTGGTGAAGTTTTTATTAAATCCACAGAAGTAAAAACCATTATCGTGAAGGGCTGGGGAATGGGGCACCAGGGAAAAGGAGTCAGGCCACCAAGGGTGGGCAGAGGGTGAAGGACAGAGAAAAGCCACGTTAGGCTGGCCATGGGGGTCCCCAGCCTCAGGGACCATCACCAGGGCCAGACAGCTCCTGGGAACTTAAGCCAGCCCCAGGCAGGCTCAGCGGCGGAGGCTCCACCAGCACAGCAGAGAACTTGGTATCCCCGAAGGCCTCATTCATGCGTGTCTCGAAGAAGCGCTGCAGGCCGATGATGGACTGCACATCCGCCTTGTCCTGGGCAGAGCAGGGCAGGGCAGAACAGGGCAAGGCAAGAAAAAGAGTGCAACAGATGGTTTCATCCTGGCTCTTTTTCTTCCATATCCCGCAATCACTACACCCATTCTCTGGGCTCACCTCTGTCAACTTGTTAAACTGCTTGAACATGCGGCCCACATCCTGGGCAAACTCCTGTGGGGAACTGTAAGGGGGAGACAATTTCTCCTGGAGACGGGCACGGATCAGTGTCAGGTCCAAAGTGCCACCAGGCTGGTCCTACAGGAAGACCACAAACATTTAGGAGATAAGCAACAGCCCCCATTTTTCCAGCTACCCTACCCCCTCTACAAGACTCACCAGGGAAAAGGTGGAGTCAGTGGCCAGCTGGTGCAAGGGACGACAAGGCTCATGGCAGAACAGGGCCAGCAGGACACGCTCACATTTCTAAATACAAGGGAGAAAGATGTCAGAGCTGCCCAGGGTGAGAAAGCGAAAGCCTCTGGGAAACCCCACCTAAGCAGCCTCAAGCCCTCACCCGCTGATTAGCTGGAGAAAGCTTTGCCACCACACCAGTGCTGTCTGCACCATCCAGGGTGAGGCTGCCATCCTCCTCCTTCAGATCAGGGAGCACATGGCAGAGCGAACAGCTCCACTCCTCCCTAAGGTGGAAAGAGTGACAGGTGCTTTGCACAGGAACCCTCCTGACTCTGAACCCTGCCCAGCTTTATACATACCCTGGCACATCCTGCAGGGCAGGGAGGTGGCAGTCCAGGTGGAAGCAAAACTCACACTGGTTGCACATGACCAGGTCACCTGGTTTCTGGCAGACACGGCAGATGGTAGCACTGTCATCCAGGGTGCCCGGGCCACCAGCTGGGACTGAGGAGCCCTCAGGAGCCACTACCTCCAAGCCTGAGCTGGTGCTGCCACTCGGTGAGGCCAGGCGAGGACCCTCTGCACCTGAGCCCTCTGCCAGAGCCATCAGCACAGGCTTAGTCTCAGGACCCTCAGTGGCAGCTGGAGGCGCTCCAATGGCAGCTTCTGTTTCTTCCTCCTGCAGAGGGGTCAAATGTTCAACAGGGTAAATACTAGGAGGATGAGAGACATCATCCATCACCCATGGTGTTGGGGCACTCACCTTGACAATGGCCATGCCAGGCAATGGTGGAGCAGTCCCAGGCTGGCCAGCCGTTGCAGCACCAGCACCACGTTCAATAACAATGAGGTTATAGTCCTCAGTAGTGCTGCCTGGGAACACCTTGAAGACAGGCGGCTGGCTATCAGCTGTGAGGTCCAGATCCAGACGTTCTAGGCTCACTCGTGGCACCTTGCGCATGAGGCCGCTCACCTCCCCGTCACCTGAGCGGGACCTGTAGGTGCACCCTGGTGTGAGACCCCCCCACCATCACTCCATGCCAGCCCATCTGCCACCTCAGAGGAAATGTCACACTTACCGCTTCACGCCTGATACGTGGGGCTCTGCACTTGAATAGGGATCATCTGCTCAAAGATGGGAAATGAGTGATAAAAACTGCTGTGTGTACAGGGCACCCTGCCCAGCCTCCCATCCACCAGGCAGACATACTCACCTGACCCAAAGCCATAGCCTTCCTGCACCTCCATGGGCTGCACACAGAACACAGCATGTGAACCTCAGTGGGGTAGGCACCTCAAGGGCCTCCATGCACTTTCCCTTCCCTGGTCTGTGTTCCTCTGCTCACCTGGTTACTGCCAGAGCCCTGCTTGCTCAGGGGACCTGGGGCCCTTGGAGGTGCCATGGGTGCTGGGCCCGTAGAGTTGGTACCAGGACGCTCTGCCACGATCTTGCCTTAGAAAAAAAAAAAAAAACAAACACTATTGTAGGGGTACTGAGGATGGTGACAAGGTAGAGCAGACAAAAACTGTGACCCACCAAAGGCCTCGGCACTCTTGGTCCAGGCATTGAGGTCCCACTGAAACTTCATCTCGCCATGTGGCTCCACTGGATCCACAATCATTTTGAGAGCCCGGTGCAACTGGAAATAGATCTGGTGGTACAAGAGAAATAGGCATGAAGCAACATGACAAAAGAACAGGGGTTTCAGAGTGCTATCTGAGAACCCACCAACACATACCAGCTTCTTAGAGAGTAACAGGGCTGTGTTGTTGTCACTCTCCAGAGCCCAAGAGGCAAAGCGCAGGATGTGCTCCTGGTGCTTCTGGATCTTAGTCATGGTCCAGTGCTGCCGCTCCAGACGCTCCTGCTGACCCTCAGTCACCTTCTGCAGATGGGGAGAGGAAAGGTCAGCACAGCAGACAGAGCTGGGAACCATGCTCCTTTTGGATGGCTTCATCAGCCAGCAGAGACCACCCGAGGCCTTCCCATCCCCCACAACTTACTTGGGCATCATTGACCAGCACACGGCCCCGCTTATTCAACTCCTTCATGATCTGTAGGATGGCCATCTTGACATCCACCTGCACACGCTTCTGCACATCAGACACTTGGCGGATCCTAGGAAAAGAGGCAGGTCAGGACAGGCAGTCTCACCTGGAGAACCCAACTCCTGGTACCCACACTTACGAGCTGCGAACCTCCTTGGTGCTCTTCTGCAGTGTGGCATGTTTGTCCCCTAGGCGCTTCACCAGTGAGGCCAGGAGCTTACGCTGGTTTCTCACTGCATCCTCTAGGAACTGGTACCTGAGAACAAATGTCAATCTGGGTACCGTACCTGGGAATGGGCCAGTACCCACCCAGTTTGCCCCAGGACTCACTGGTGGTCCTTATGAGCGTTAAGTTGGCAGTCTCGGCAGGTCAGAGTGTCACAGCTCTCACAGAACAGCACGAGAGGCTCATGCTTGTGCACGTTGCAATAGACGGTACGCTCACCATCCCGAGACTTAGCTGGCCCTGGGGAGTAGAAACCAGGAGATTTTTACCTTGTCCTTGTACACCTCCAATTCAGGCAGCAGTCAGAGCATGAGGCTTCAGTAGGCAGTGGCAGTAGCTGGAACTCTGTCCCAACAAGTCAAAGAAAATACTATTCTAGGGGCCAGCATCCTGGCATAGCAGACTAAAACCTCCACCTAAAATGCTATTCTAACTTCTAGAAAACTCCAGTCACATCACCACTGTTCCCTCCACTGGAAATATTGACATTCAGTTACATACAAACACCCTCTATTTATTTGTCTTCCTTCTCATTTTAGGCAATTACTCTTTACCCTCTACCCTTTCGCTTGAAGGATGGATGTCAGTATCTTACCAGCCTTGGGCCCAAGAGACCTTGGAGAACCATCTCAAATTAGGAGACAGTAACAACTCTTGTCTGAGTCATGGTTCTGGTGCTTACAGTGACATCACCCAAGGACCGACATCAATAATTCTGAGAGCCTGACCCTCAAAATAAAACGTAAATACGTGGGTTCCTTCCTTCCACCCCAACTCTACATAGACAAGATATGTAGTACCAGAGCACAATTCAGCCAGCAGCACTTGGCTTGCACAATTGATGCTCACCCTTTCCTTTACCACTATAGTTAAGAATTAGCCTCTGAAATCAAAAACCCTTGCAGACCACAGTCCATTCCACCTTTGGTACTCAGGCAGGCCGTAAAGCCACCACCTCTTATCCCCAACTTTCAACAATTTTACTGACAGAATCTTATGGGATCTTAGTACCACAATTCAGGAGACTTAATTTCCCTTCCAAATCAAACCCAATACAGGCACGCTAAACTGGATTCACAGCTAAAACACAGGACCCACCAGTACTGACAGGCCAAGAGTCCAAAGGAACTGTCAAACAGCCCAGTTATGGAAGCCTCCCTTTTCTTAACAGTCTAAAGCCAACAGCCAGAAACCCCAAACCACAGGCACTCTCCCTCCCATGCCTTTTTCTCTCTGCATACCCTGGAGTCTCCACCACAGGTATTCCCTGGATTTCCCAATAATGTCTTCAAGCCCTTTGTACAAAGACATCCAGTTAAGGCCCGCTCCAAAGGGACCTCCCTCTCCAGCCTGTGGCCTTAATGCCCAGGGACACTGCTGCTTTGGAGTTCTAACCTCAGGCCCTTTAGATGGTTAAGACTTCAAGAGAACCACCCTAAGACCTGTA